GGGCCTAGCACAGAACCCTGTGGGACACCACAATCAATGCTTGAAGAGTCAGAGGTCTGGGATTCTACGATAGTAACTTGTGTTCTTTGTCTTAAGTAAGAAGAAAACCACTCATTTATAATTCCTCGGAATCCACAGTAATCTAATTTTTGGAGTAATATGTCTTGGTTTACTGTGTCAAATGCTTTTTGAAGATCAATGAAAACTCCATAGGAAAAATGACCTTTGTCCATATCAGACTGTATTTTATTAACAATGTCTAATATGGCATGCTCAGTTGACTGTTTCTGTCTAAACCCACATAATTTGCAAAGAACACAAAATTCCTTCTTTATCTATAAATGAATTCGTTCTTGTGTACATTAGTTTTTCGAAAATTCTATTAAAACTTGATAATAAGGAGATTGGTCTATAATTGTTTGGGTCTGATTCATCATCAGCTTTAAAGATCAGGATTACTTTTACCATTTTAAATGTGGATGGGTATTTCCCAGACTCCAATGACCTATTGAAAATATTGGCTAAAATATCCTTAATATAATATTGTCGCACACATACTTTAAAATGAAAGTCGGAAAAGAATAGAATCCATGTGACTTGTTAACTGCCATTGATATTATTTCAAATTTGACTTCATCAGGAGTTATTGGTTTAAATGGAAAGGACAAAGAAGGAGATTTGTTTTTATGAGAGGAATTGAGTAAAGTGCTTTTCTGAGTTTGGGAGCTTTGCAGCTAATTTTGTTCCAATACTTGTAAAATGTTTATTAAGAACATTGGAAATTATTGATTTATTGTTGGTGGTTGTGTTATTGCCAAAGTTTTTTAGAGTATTTATAATCTTGTTTTTATTCTTTTTGCGATTCAGTAGGCTACTAATACCTTCCAATTTTCATTAAGATAATTAAAATAATATTCTTTCTTGCTTAAACATAATTAGTTTACATAACATATTTCGATAATGTTTGTATTTTATAGAGTCGCCGCTTAGAAATAATTGAATTTTTATTTTTATTGAAGCCCTTACTCCCTTTGTTATCCAGGGTTTGGTGGCTTTGGTGTGACAATTTGCTTTAATTATTGCTGCCAAACAAAATAATGTTTGGCAGCAAAACACGTCATGTCTGGCACCCTATTAGAACATGTTTTTTGTCTCGTGTCCACTCTTAGATGCAACCCATGGATAGTAATATTTTTGTGATTTTTGCAATTTTGGAAAAAGCTCAAAATTTAATGCTTGTGAAATCTAAAAATTCCTATAAATCACTGAAAATCATGACATTAAATACTTGTGAAATATGGCTCTTGATTTTTCCGTAACATTTGATACTCACAAAATGAAGTGAGAATAAGGTACACTTTCACTGCAATGGCAGCAAGAGGTACAGATTGATATTTTGAAAAAGAAATTGAGCAACAAAGCTTGATTAATTAGTACAGCGTTTATAAACATTGTATTTGAATTGGACTGACAAGAAAGTAAAGAAGCTTAAACAGAAGAAAGATTACACGATTGTTTTGGACCGCACTTCACTGCGTTTTTTCTTTTAATTGTCATGCTCTTAAACCATGATTGATTTTGGTTTAAGTTAGCACGAGGTTCAAGTTTGCTTGGGTTTGAGTTATCGGGAGTCAATTGTATCTCAAAAGTGAACATGGAGACTCCCCCATTACCTTTTCTGAGTGTCACAAGGTGTGTAATAGAAAACGGATCATGTTTATTGTAGGTAGTCTATATAGCGGTCATTACTGAAAACAAAGAAGCACTTCTTCATAGAATTTACTTTAAATAATCACAATGCATATCAGAAATGCACTAAAAGGTCCACTTATTTCTGTATTTAGAAAATTTTCCTTGTTTACTGCAATTTCTCTTTCACATTGAATTTTTGATCCAAGGGGGACAATGAAAACCTCCAGATTAGGAGTGTCCAACTTGTTTCTAGCTAAAGTTGGGCAATTAGAAGCTAAAGATTGAAAGTGGCATGAATTCTGGTTTGTAAGTTCAGTTGCTCAGTCTGGAATTTGTTTCTTCTGAATGTTTAAAGTCCCACGTACCAACTTAATTTATCCTTCCAGAAAAGTTAAACAGCAAAAATTTGATAGTTTTAATAGAGAAGTTAAAATGCTTACAATAAAAGAAGTAGCTTTTATGTTAATGTTCAAGAAGCATTGATTGGTGGGAACCCACGATCAGGTGCGGTGCCCAGAGGGCCATGTGTTAGAAAACTCTTTACTGGGTTAATCATGTATCTACCCTCTCAAAATAAAGGACATTGTATTGTATTGTATTGTATTGTATTGTTCTTCTTCCCGTTTTGTTTGGGAGATGAGGCTTAAAGGATGTCTGATACGTTTAGTTTATACAACGTCTGCCGGTAGTCCAGCATCTGGACTTTTGTCTGATTGGTCAAAAAACAAAAGATCCTTCAGAGCCCTGCACCGACTGGTCAAGCAACATATCTGACTTCCGGAGCTATTAGATAGGTTTCGTCATCTTCGTCTCTTCATGACAGAAACCACGAGATGATCGAGGAATTCTTTTAACGCAAGCTTAGGTTTTAAAGCTAGGTCTTAAAAGAAAAAAATCAATACTTTTTTTTAATGAATCAAGTCAACAATAAACAGAGAAAAACCTTGACAGCTGATATGAGATGAGGACGAGTTGTTATTTGTCACAGGCAAGGATATCCCCTTTTTCTTCTTTGACACTTTCTTGCTCGTACATGTACCAGGTAGAATGGTTTTCTTTGATTTCCTATCAAGTTCAACTCATGTGTGAGAGTGTGTAAAAAGATAGTTATTGACGATTTCAAACCTGCCTTTTTGCAAACTGATGAAAGACCATGAAAGATTTGTTGCCGCAGAATCAATTCTTATACTTTTGACCACTTCCAGTAAAATACAGAATTCTTTTGCTCCACTATTGTTTTCAATGAATTATTAATAATTTGTTTGACTTGACAGTTTGAACAAAGGTATCACACAGCAATGATAAGGCAAGATTCGCAATAACAGCAGTGCTAACTGGGACTTTAAAAACCGAGGATGTTTTTGCAGACGACTACCATATCAACTTAACATTTATCGCTTGCCTGGAAAGTAGCTACATACATTTTGATAATAGCTGCCTTTTTGCAAACTGCTTGAATTTCCGGTAAAATCTGACATGATAACACAAATGTTGACAGACACCTTAATTAGGGGGTGGCAGATCACTTGTGAAGTAAATATATCAGGCGTTCTTTTTTTTTTCCTCTTCCCCCCCCCAAAAAATGCCTGATTGCAGGTTAGGTAGGAATAGGTCATTTTTACAATGACATTTGACTACAACTTCCAGAATTCATTTTGTTTTTGCTTTCTTATTTAAATTTCTTAATGCCACTGAGGTTTACTATAAAAAATAGTCCTAATTTGCACAAGAAAACAACAAACTGAGGGATGCTGGTAGTTGTAGTGAAATGACATCATCATGCAAATGACTTAGTCATAGTCATACTTGTACTCATTTTTCTAAGGAGGGGGGGGAAAGGTGCAGTGGGGTTAACCCTATGTGAAGCACCAACCTGCGAAACAAGACCAGACCACTATACTAGGACCTCTGTGCCCTACTCTTTACGACAATTGTGTGGGTTGTTTAACGTCCCCTGCTGACGATATGACACTGAAGATGCAGGAGACAGGGCCTACAATTTATCGCCCGTATCCAAGAAGACTAGAACATCTCCTGCATGGCAGTCTGGCGCTCTACCAACTGAACTAATCAGTCGTGAAATGACATGACATCACATAGCCTGCGAAAACATCCGTTTCTCCTCGCTCTTTGCTGCTGGGGACGTTTCGCGAGGAGGAATGTCTGCGACTCTGCAACAGAAATTCCATACTGATGACGTAAAATATGTCCAGAATCCGGTCAGAAGCGCTGATTGGTCGACGGAGTAGTTACATTGTTTTAGCTATTGTTTATGAATGACAGGCAAAAGACAAAAGGCCACAAAGGTCAAATGTTAACGCGAAGAATCTCGAGCAAAACAGTCAATATTTTGTGGAATATACTCTTCTCTAGAAGAAGCGTTTAAGTTCTGCTGGAGCTTGTTGGCAGATGAACACAATACTTTACCAAAATCGACCAGAAAAATTGGACAAATTTGTATTTGGAACCCCATGACTACCGGATTTATTATGTAAACATTGATTTGCAACATCAGTATGGAATTTCTGCTCCTGAGTCACGGACATTCCTCTGCGCGAAACGTCCCCAGCGGCGAAGAGCGAGGAGAAACGGATGCTTTCGCAGGCTAGACATGTATGTATTGTTCTATTGAATTTCACATAGAGGGAAGTCAGTGTATGTTAGGTTATTTTTCAGAGGAATAACCTTAAGTGTAGATGTCTTTTCCAAGCAAGGGTGTGTAGTATAGTTACAGGAGAGTTAACTGAACATACAATAAAACCCTGCATATAAGAACCTGGGTTTTAAGAACCTGTTAGGCTAAAATTTTCATTTTAAGCCCCCTCCACATAAGAACCTATTAAGGGCTAAAATTTTAAGTTAGGTTCTTATCAGTGGAGGTGCTGTACAGGTGTATTGGTAGAAACTGCTGAATTAAGATCATCATCTGATTATATTTAAAACTAACTTGACAACATTTTGTTAAGGACATACCTGCACTATACTGCCTTTAGGTATTACTGTATTGTATAAAAGATTTATATTGTATTATGAGATGATATTTGAAAATATAAGAACCTATTTTAAGAACTTTTGTAGTCTAAATTTGCTTTGAACCTGTTAAGGCTAAATTAAAAAATCCAGGTTCTTATACGCGGGGTTTTACTGTATCTGTACAAGGAAGAGATGTTTGTTAATAATCATTTATTGTTTTCTTTCTGACATTTTGTGCAACTTTAATTTAATTTGTGATGTTACTTTTTAACATTTTAGGGAAATTGTAGATCGAGACACCGTGGCACAGCACCAAGAGCTTAAAAGGAAAGAATATGGCAAATGTTCCACCTCCACTCACCCTAGAACTTCCCAAGAAAAGTGATCTTCCTAACACATGCAAAGCTTGGAATGAAGTCCATCTTCCAATTGACATTCTTTTGTTGACAGTGGAGGACAGTGAGTTCTTAGCCTGTTTTACATACTTAAGAAATGCCATTAAAAGCTACCACAAGAACCTTGGATATGTGTACTTTGGGAACATGGGTGAAAATGGAGATGTACCCCTAAAAGTTGCTTTGATGACATATTCCGAAGGCTCTTCTGCTCCAGATGGCTCGCTGGTCACTGTTAAGAATGCCGTGTTGGAACTGAGACCCAAAGCTGTTTTCTATGTTGGCTGCTGCGGTGGGTTGAACCCAGAAGTCGCCAAGTTACAGCTAGGTGATGTGGTGGTATCCTCTAAGCTTACAACTGAATCATTCAAAACCCCAGTGGGTAGAGATATTTTACGCCTCATCAGGTCTGCAGATCATGGTTGGATTCCTCCATTAAGAAATCCAGAAGATCATAAAGTTCAGGTCTGCTGTAATGGGGAGATTTTAAGTGGCATAGACCCAGTCAGTACTAAACAGCAAAACGTGTCACATTTTACTGAAGCTACTGCATTAGCATTTGGTGGTGAAGGTAAGATATTTATTCCCTGTTAAATGACATCATTCCTCTCTTGTTACATTTTCTTACGAGAGGAGTGGTGGTCCATGGTGTACATCTCAAACTTTAGATCTAGCGGGTCCAGGTTAAGGCTTTGCTGCACTTTGTGCTGTTTCCTTGGACAAGAAACTTTGATTCACTTTGTCCCTCTCCCACCCAGGTGCAGTGTAAATGGGTGCTGGTTATGATCCTTTGTGATCCTGTTTTCAATCTGATCTTTTAAGATCTATTCTATGTTTGGACAATGATGTTTATGTTTGTGTAGCTTGCTTTATTATATAGAGTACCACTCATGAAATTCATAAAAACTACATCCAGGACCCGAGTGGTTTATTTTCCATAATCTCACACATGAGTTTATCAATGACGTAATTTCGGTAATTTCCCTCCAAAATTTGTAGGCGTCTTGCATCCTTTGAATTTTAATTACACATTTTTCAAAGCTTTGCTTATATTTAAATTTTGTCATTGTAGAGCCCTATTCAGCTCAGTGTCATTTCTCAAGATTATTGCAAACAATGTCTTAAATCGCTGTACTGTAAATTTGAGCCGTCACAATTACTTTTTGGCAAATAAAAATCTATTATTTTATCGATGTCTTGTTGTCTATATAATAAAAAGAACATTACACGGCGGCTTGAAGATATGAATTTCATTTTCTTCACGCCACCGTGTATACTAAACTATGCATAAAAAATTGATTGGAGGACAGTAGTTTAAGTAGTGTTTTCCTTTGGATAAAATACAAAAGGATAGTTAACATCCTAATGCATAAGCTGTTTTTTTGTTTGTTTGTCCTGTTTTTTTTATTTTTTAAATGTCTGCCTTTTAAAATCACTATTTGTATTTTCTGCCTACCTGTTTGCATGGTAAATAATATTTTTTATGTTGTCACATCTTGATCAACCCTGGCTGTGATGCTCACTGGTGGATCTGCTTGCATCTTGAATTTTTAGTGATTTGTTGTTGTTTTTTCCAGGCCTTTTTGCTGCAGCACATGATCTTAAGATTGAATGGGTGATTGTAAAAGGTATTTCTCACTTTGCCGATGGTAACAACCCTGCAGAAAATTCTTGGGAGAGTCATGCATGCATAATGGCAGCTTCTCTTGTGTCCAACATGTTGAAGGATTCATTTGTGTTTGAACAATGGCCTCTTTATGAAGGTAGGTGACAATATGCTCTTTAATCAAACCATATGATGATTAAGACCCTGTTTACATGGAGTGGGGGACCCCGGTCTAGTGGGGTAGGTTTCTTTTGTTTTCACGCTCTGGAGAACACAAAACAAAAGAAACCTACCCCACTAGACCGGGGTCCCCCACCTCCATGTAAACAGGGTCTAAATCTTCACATTTTTTAAGAGGTGTTTTTGGTTAATTACTAAGGTTGATTTAAAATACTCAGCCACATTTTTCAAACCTTGTTAATTAATTTCTTTTTATAATAAACTTGAAAAAGAATGGAGTTCAACGTTTTCTTTGTCAACTCACAACTGTTGGAAACTATAACATTGGGAAAAGAAAAATTATGAGAAAAAGGTGAAGAAATTGGTTGGGAGGACAGCAGGGAGATGTTTCCTGATAAAATTGACTGGCTGCTCATCATACTATTTTAGGCAGTAAGATTTGTGTGTGGGGGGGGAGGACAGGGGGGTGACAACCTCCCGCTTCCCGTGCCCCGTTCTCCCGCCTCCCGTACCTTTTTGTTGCTTTGTCTCCCGACTCCCGCCCTTTATTGTATTTTTCCCGTCATCATGTAAATTAAAAAGATCACAAGCCCGCGTTTAGTGTTAAAGCTGTAGGGTAATTTGCCAAATATGAAAATTGTTACATTAGTCAGTTTTCTTAGTTAAACTGAGTGTTCACTAACCTGGTTATCTAGGTTTGACCACCGCTTCTGACATCCCACTACAGCGACAATAGTCTCAGTCCACTGTGCAGTGTAATAGCTATTGCAGCTATCAAAGATGCATTAACATGCATTTAAGAATCCCGAAATTACGGGGATCATGCCAAAATGAAGTCGAAGGGCCAAACGTTACGGTAGAGTTCAGTACTCCTGTCTAGTTCCCAGCGTCTAATTGTACTAATTGCATATCCATTGCGGTTAGTTTTCATTATTTTTCGTAAGTAGTCGTAAGCTATAAAAACTGACTTCAACGAGACTGAATAATTGCATGTTCGTTAACCGTTTGCATTTTAAAGCGTTCAGTTTAGTGCTGGTGGAGTATTATTGTTTGCTGGTTATCAAATCTCAAACCTATTCATATTTGCTCGAGAAGTTGTATCTTTCATCAAACATCGGCGGGGAGGTTTAACGGTTATACATACATTTTTACATCGGAATGATGCATCTATGTCCGATTTTAACAAGAAGCATTTGAAGAAACGAATGCTCTGCTCTTATTGGCTTATTACAAGTTAAATAACAGGGCAGGGAACAGGTTGCAATATGTGTAAAAAGTGCCCGTATTTTGCTACAGTAAACAAACTAGAAAAAGTCTTCCATGTGCTGAGGAGGTCGCACTGATCTCCTCCTACTCCAAATGTTAGTTAGAGCAGTAAAGTCTGCCTCCTCTTCCTCCGAGTCGAGGGAACTTTCTAGATTTTCTTCATTTTCATTGGCTTCCAGATCACATTCGCCTCGACAGTCAGACAGAATCTTACAGAATGTTTCTTCAGTTACTTCCAAATGGCTATCAAATAATGGCATTGCATCTTTGCTTATTTCGCAAATAATGTTACTCTTCTTGCATAGTGCTTCTTCGCCAGACATTTGAAAGATAAAAGAACTTTCATCGATGATAACATAATTAGTACCAACGATATCATTTGCGTCTATCTTGCTTGAAATAAAAACTGAAAAAAAGTTGGATTTGCTTCTGATTGCATAAATTCCAGTATGTGGTGCCTGATGAGTGTTGAGATCGCTTTGATTTACATTTCCAGGCTCGGTCACGGGCTCTTCGTCGCATCTACTGCTATTCCCTGGAGGATTCGTTGGTGTATCTGCTTCCTTTGCAGAACTGACAGCCTTAAATAGCTTTTGCATTGATGTTAGAGCTTGTTCTTCAGCATTTTTGTATGACTCTTCCGACATGTACATGTAAAAGGGGAGAGTACCGGCTTTGTCTTTCGTGAAAGAATTTAGGACCGACTGTTGCCTAACCCCTCGTCCAAACTCGTTTCTCCAATCGTTAAGACGTCTGATGTCCTCCTTATTCAGGAACGTAGTTGGTTCTTGTGGCACTGGGAGCAAATCTTCATACTTTATTGAAAAGTGTGATGGTAACTCCTAGTGCTGTTTCTCCCGAGTAAAGCAAATATATCCAGGCCAGCCAATTCTCTTTAAGGTCTCATCCGCAGCCTCCTCGAAGTTTATCGCACGATCTAGCACGGTGGGTGTGTCTATTACTTGTCGCAATTCGCTGTTAAAATACTCATTGACAAGTGTGAGGAATGTTCTTACATCGGCAGCTTCGAGTAGATGTGCACATTCTTCACTAAATCGGGTCCGAAGGCGATCAAGGAAGTTCTTGATGAAAGTATTAAACCGACTTGGAAAGGTTTCCAATTTCACCGGAAGTAATGCTCTTTTTTCTATTCCGAGTGCGAATTTACGTTTTTTGACTTTTCTCGCATTAAAATTTTGATTTAGGGCCTCAGAGAACGTTAAATGGAAGTCAAGAAACGTTGTTGGGTTCGTTTCTTTGACTGGATGATGAGCAGTAACAATTAAGGAAAGCTTGCCCTTTGGAATTTCTCTCCCGCTTCCTGCCATCATAGAGATCCCGCTTCCCGCCCTTTCTTCTCCTGTCTCCCGTACTCCTCCCGCCCCCTGTTCTCGCGGGCTCCTCCCCCCCTGTCCCCCACCACATTTGTGGGTTGGTACTCAGCAAGTGCATACTTAGGGACCTAAAGGTTAAAATGACTCTTGTTTAGAGCTTCAGTGGTATCTGTTAGGGGCCTGAAAGGTTGGATGGGAATTATTTTGTTTCTCAAGTAATTTTTGGTACCTCTTAGGCATTAAAATTTATTTCAAACACGCCCACAAAGCTAGATTATCTTACTTTGTAGGGGTACTTTTGGATTTTATTTTTTTACAAAACCCCTGTTTTTTTTGGTTTGTTTGTTTGTTTGTTTTTGTTGTTGTTGTTTTTTAAAGCACCCCGTTTATTTCTATAGAGGGGTGTCTCCTCCTTTTGGTATCTCCCAGGGGTTAAAGTGAATTTCTGCCATGCCCACAAAGTAAGATTCTGCTACCCTCTAGAGATGCTTTATATTTTATATTTTTAATATTATTATTATTTTTTTGACAAGCACCCCTGTTATCTTTAATTTTTTTTTGTAAAGCAGTTTTGCTATTTTTAAAGGGGAGTATCCCTTCCTCCTTTTAGTACCTTTTATAGAGCTTCAAATGAATTTCTTCCATGCTGACAAAGCAAAATCCTTGTACCTTCTAGGGATACTTTTGAATTTTTTATTCGACTAGCACCACAGTTGTTTAATAGGGTAGTATCTCCTTCTCCCCCCCCCCCCCCCCACCCCCCACACCCTGAGAACAATAGTAACAAACTTTACAGGGCTGTCATGAAGGGCCAGGAGGCGTGGATTATGAGCATGACTTCTGGTTACTTTCATAGGAAATAAAAGAAAAATAGGACCGAAAGAATTTCCAGGATGTTCTATTCCATGCTCGGCAACTTGAAACCATAGTGACAGCCTTGAACCCTAACCAGTAAGCTCTCTGCACTGCAGGCTTTATTTTCTGGTTTTTGAACATTCTAGAACTCTACCCTCTGATTGGTTGATAGCTATGGTTTTGAAAGGCCCGGGAAATATTTTAAGGGTTTATTTCCTGTTTTGAAAATGTTTTTGAACTGCAACTGCTTACCAGATGCCTTTCAGAGTCAACTTAATGTGCAGCAGAAATCCTGCATAACCAAGTTCAAAAGATAAATTTATTGTCTGAAACTGTGCACACTGCAACCAGAGATACCGTAATTTAATGAACTAAATGTCGCTATCACCCACAATTAAGTAAAAGCTAAGTGGATGTCAGCTTCTAGTCCCAAGACAAGCTGCTCAGTGCTTTTTGTTATTGAAACTTTATTATTGAGACCCAGAAAGTAAAATGTGAGTAGTAAAAAAAACTGACAGATTCATGAACATTTTTCCCAAATACTTTTGAATAACTGTTGTTTTGAATGTCTCACTTCAATTCTCATTCTATTTCCTTTTGCTTACAGACCCGTCAGCAGGGAAACAGCCCTTTAGCTCTGCGGCCAGTAAGGAGGAGTTACCAGGTACTATCATGTCCAATGAAGTAAAAATGGTACCAGACATACATGAGATTTATAATTTTGAACAACTGTTGTTTAAAATGTCTCACTTCAATTCTCATTCTATTTCCTTTTGCTTACAGACCCGTCAGCAGGGAAACAGTTCTTTAGCTCTGCGGCCAATAACGAGGAGTTACCAGGTACTATTATATCCAATACAGCAGAAATGGTACCAGACATACAGTAGATTTATAATTTTGAATAACTGCTGTTTAAAATGTCTCACTTCAATTTTTATTCTATTTTGTTTAACTCACAGACCTGTCAGCAAAGAAACAGCCCTCTAGCTCTACGGCCACTAAGGAGGAGTTACCAGGTACTACTATGTCCAATAAAGCAGAAATGGTACCAGACACACAGTAGATTTAATATGAATGACTGTTATCGTTTGTTATATTACAATACAAAATCATCTTTATTGTAGCAGTTGTTTATTTCTATTTTAAAACTTAGCAGCAAAAAAGAAGTATGATGAGATACTTCAAGAGTCAAATCCTTTCTCTCATTCAATCTTTCTGTTAGAATTATGCTAAGGTATTTTTAACCTGCATTAATCCTCGAGGTTAGTTATACAAAATAAGAATTATTTTTGCACCCAACCACAAACGTCACTAACAGCTTTGGAGAGGTACCCCTCTATGGGCGTGTCCTCCCTAAACCTCTCTTTGTGGGGCAACACCCCTTCACACTTGGTTTACTGATGCAGTATTCAAAGATATTTACATCTACATGTTACTCGACCAAGGCTGCCCATCCCGCCATATTCATAATTTGTTATTGTAATAATTAATAATTCTTTATTTAGCTCATGGTGAAATTACATTTTTAACTTTTTTATGACTCAAATTTGTGCTAGGTTATAACTTTATAATGTAAGAGAAATAATAAGTGCGAGCTGGGAAGCTAAATAAACTGTTAGATTTTCTAGTTAGCTCCCCATCCAATTAAAGTCAGTGTGTAAGCAGGTGAAAAAGAAGAAAATAGAATAGATAAATGAATTAATAAATTAAATTAATAAAGAGCATTCCTTCAACGTTTGATCATAGTATTTGTATTCCTACACTATATTCTGGTGTTTTAGAGCCCTGTTATCTACATGCACTGTTACTTACATTTCTGTTGGTGCATCATGAGTTGAGGATAATTTGTGGTTAAATATGGAAATTTTATTTATATTCGGTGATCTGATCACTTAATATAAATGAGGGCCTATATTTTGTGCGTCAACAACCTCCTTTTAACTTTCCTCGCCTATTAAGATATCAAGTTATTAACAAACAATTCCTTAAAAAAAGGAACGTAAAATTTTCTTTAACAGATTCTCTCTCCCTCGAGGAGTGCCAGAAACAGCTGCGATCAATTTATGAAACCAACAGCAAAGTCAAAATCGTTCCGTGGGACCAAAGCTCTGCCGTTCATATCGATGAAATTTACACCCAGTTGTCTTGGCTTATGGATGAGAAGAAGCCCAGCGGAGTAACACAGAAGGAACTTAAACACTACACCAACATTTTTGACGGCGGAAGACTTGATCATTTGTCTAAGCGTATTTTGGTTCACGGACGACCAGGTATCGGCAAGACCGTTTTTACGCAGAAAGCTACATTCGACTGGTCCCAGCACAGATTTGAAGGAAAGTTAGGAAGATTTGATCTCGTACTTTTGGTCAAATTACGCGATGTTTGTAACCTCAACGATGTCCCAGCCATTCTGAGCGCTGCTGATCTTCTTGCGAGTGATGGCCCAATTTCCACTGACAACCTGTACGATTACGTTCGTCACCACCAAGAAAAAGTGTTGCTTATTTTGGACGGCTACGATGAATACGTACACAGCGCAGCAAGCCAATCACCTGTTCTTCAAATCTGGGAGAAAAAGCAGTTGAGGTATTGTTGCGTTATTATAACATCTAGAGACATGAAAGTAGAGGGATTAAAAAGTTCCAGCGATGCTCAGTTTGAGATCGATGGTTTTGACCGTAAGCGACAAGAAGAGTTCGCCCGTAGATTCTTGAAAGATGATCAAGATGTTAAAGAGTTTTTTAAATACTTGAAGCAACAAGACCTGGAAGATGTAGCAAAAATACCTCTTTTGCTTGTTATGTTGTTGTTGGTTTGGAAAGAAAAAGACTGTGGAGGACTACCTTCATCACGGCCGGCGATATATTTTCAGTTCATTGAGACTTTGTTCGATCATATGTCTGAAAAACAAAAAAAGCCGGCGGAAAAAGTTGACGACCACAAAGAAGAACTCTGTAAAGTAGGAGAACTAGCATTTGACGCACTTCTACAAGATTTACTTTACTTTCCTCTCAGTAAACTGCCGGATCACGTTTTGACTGAGAAACTGATCGAGGCCGGGTTGTTTCAGCTGCTAAAAATGTCCGCTCTTAACCCGTGCAAAGACGTTCATTTCATTCACAAATCTATGCAGGAGTTTTTGGCTTCTTTATTTCTAAAAGGAGAACTGTTTTCTCAAAACAATTCCCTTTTCAAAGTCGACTCAATTGAAAAGATCTTCAGGTTGACTAAAGTTTTTAAATTTGCTGCTGAAATGTCAGAAGAAGCCGCGCGCGAGATCTTGATTTATCTGTTGGAAATGGCGGCGAAGGAAGACGGAGAGTACAGCTTCGACAACCAAGCACCGTCAATCGAAGATTTGTCTGATGAGCAAAAAAATCTTCTAATTCTATGTACACAGTTATTCTTCTACTGCTCAGCAGACACGAGAACAGAACTTTTCCCCACTTTTCTTTCTAATCTAGGAGGTGTTTTTTTAATAAATCCTGACCAGCTGAATATTGCAGCAAAGGAAAATTTTGTTAAAATTACCGCTTCACTTATGTACATATTTTTCTCTGCGAGCGACCAGTATACAGAGCAAAGTTATAATAATTTAATAACTTTAGCACAGCAATTAAACGCTGTTATAGTTAGTAGAACAGGAGAACAGAAAGCATCAGAATTTTTGAATGTATTTCCATGGCGTAGAGTCAACGAGTTTTTTTTAATGAAAGATGAAAACAACACTCACCTTTATTTTACTCAAATTGTAAGAAGATATCCGTTCATTCCTTTTCCGTTTAAAATGGTAATGCCGTTAGTTAGTTTAGAAGAGACAACAAAGAAGACAAACATGAATGGTGATGAGTCAAGTGAAGAGAGCAGCAGCAGCTGTTGTTCAAAGCGTCATGGTCTCTCCAGGGTTCGGAGGATAAAAGGTTGGTTTGTGAACAGGTCAGAAGTGGAACTGATGATTGAGATAATGCCGTTGATCATCGCTCCACACTGGATAGATGTTTGGGGTGAAGACAGTGAAGTGTTTGATGCTGAGGTAACAGAGTCTCTACTGAGGAGCATCCCAACAACACACAAACTGGAGAGATTAGCACTCTGTGATATCAATGTAACATCATCACCTGCTGTGGAGTTCATCAACAGAGTATTTGAACAAGATCTTCCAAACTTGAAGGTGCTCAACATGTCATTCAATCCTCTTCTGGGTGCAGGAGTCGACAGCTTAATTAAACATCTCAGCTGCGCTCCTCACCTGGAGGAACTGTACCTTGAAGGAGTGAAGATGACTCCACAGCAGGTGATGAATCTCACATCAGCTGTACAGCAGCACGGAAACATCACTGATCTGCGGTCATCCTACCACGTAAGTTTTCCAATTTTATCGCAATTTGTTTCTTTATTCTTTGTTTACAGTTTATTTCTACTCAGCTCTTGTCTTTCGCCATTTTTCTTTCTTTGTCATTTTTATACTCGACAAAACACGAGATTTACTTTTGAAAACAAATCACAGACTTTAGCAGATTCAAAGTATCATTTCAAATTCATTTCTTTCAACTGATTAAACTAACTTCATAAAATGTTTTATCTGAGATCGTTAAGAACAAGTAACTTTAGCTGATTTTAAAAAAGGAATTGAAGACAAATAGAGAAATTTCGTACGTTCAAGCAGCCATAAGATGATATTATTGGATGAAAACAAGAACTTCCAGCAAAACAAAAGCACATAATTTCCACAGTATTAATTTCTGAATCAATTTTAATTCATACCTTTTCATAAAGTAACAAACCACAATCATAAAAGCAAATGAAAGATGTTCAGTTCATGTTCAATTAAAACAAATGAGTTAAGTTTGCTATTAAAAAAAATGAAGAGTAAACACATTGAACTCACATTTTCACATTTATCGTTTAAGGCTCCTATAAAAAGAGTTTAAGTCAAGTGAAGTTCTTTTGAAAGTCCAGAAAACAAACAAGTCTTTTTTATAGCTGTTCTTTTGTTCTTGAGCGTTTCTTTGGTAAATACTGGTCCTTGCAGTTCGGTGAAGCCATGGTTGGTTTTTGAAATAACAACGCGCACAAAAAAATTGTATATCCGAGACGACGGTTGAAAGCAACACCAAAAAAATTTTCCTTACAGGTAAACACTTCGCTGTTCTCCACTGTATAGAATAAGTGTCCATTGCATGATTTTCATCGCGTAAATAGCATAAGTTTGTTTTCAACTTTCCAAGAACACTCGCCATACAAATCAAATCCTGCGGAGCTTTGGGCTTTCCTTAAATATCGTAATAAATGATCTTTCCTTGAGCTTCAAACAACTCCTTAGCATATTCCTGAGTAAAAAGAGATAAATCCCTGTCTTTTGCCGGTATCATTTCCTTGATGTTTTCTTATTAAATTTTGAGTTCATCCTGAACAGTTTGCCGTTGAAGAGCGAACTGAACAAACTACAAAAACAACAAACGATGTCATTCAAAGCCTAGTGACGTGGCGGTAGCTGATTGGTTGAATACACCTCGGATGATTTTTCACGTGGTGACATTTTCCCGCCTTTGTTTTATTACGTAACAAATTCCCGCTCGCAAAAAAATACACTGTGATCTGCGAATTTTGTAAGGCTGAATATATTTTGAAAAGAAAAGAAAAGGATTTGCTAATTTTGATTTTGATTCTACCATTTTGAATGCGAATTTCTTGTACGTGTGCCTTGATAAAAATAATGTTTCTCTTTCCAATCCCGCCGAGAGGGGAGAGGTGCAGGGGGGTAAATCTCCCTCCTCCCTAAACTTGGTTTAAATAATGGCGACGGGTAACACTCGTTTCTTGAACTTAGTCGTAAAGGAAGTTTTTGACCTTCAGCGCTTCGCCTCTACACCAACATACCAGACAAAGAACGCGTAACCACAGTGTGTCTAGGGCAGTTTTAGCCCCCCCCCCCCCTCCCCTCTCTCTTGTTCACTCTCTCTCTATGTCACGCAACGCCGGAGAGAGAGGGTCGTCCCTCACATCCCTTATCATCACGGAAGAGAAGTCAGAATCTTCGCTAGGGAAAATTTCTCTCAGCAAATAACTGTAAAGACGCTTAAAAATAGTTTGTTGTTAACACATTAACCTTGTGCTCGTATAATTTTTGACAAGGTGCCGGGTTCGAATCCTGCTCAGTAGCCTTTCTTTTTTCCTTCTGTCTTTCTCTTTTTTGTTTTGTTTTCGTTTTTGTTTGGTTTGGTTATTTGTTTTGTTGCTGTTGTTTGTTAAATATATATACCTTCTAGAGCAAAGATAGTATATTTATGGATAAACAATCTGAATTGCTATCCGGTTTCCTACAATTTTCATTCCTTTTTTATTGCAATATATTCTACAAAACTAAAAGAGTAGCCACATGCAGTTACAAACTGCCTTTTATTACATAGGCCAAGTTTTCACTGTTGATCTTTGCTTTCGGCACGCGAGGCTTGTTTTGAACTTAGTACATCTTGTCAAAGTGGCTTTCATGTTAACAATTGTCTTTCGTTGGTCAGTGTAATCGCATGGGACTTAAAATGAAGGTTTGAAATGTGTGCGCGTCCACACTTTATTAAAGGGAGATGGGTGGTTTTAAGTATTGTTTTGTGTGCACGTCCACCCTTTACTAAGAGTTTTAGTATTGTTTGGTATTTTATGGCAGGTTTTTAAGACACTTAACCCTAAACCTGAACATGAATGGCCATCAGAGAACTACTGGAAAAGGAAGTACTCTCACCTCTTTCCTAATTTATCACCTGAATCAGCGCATGAACAGGAGGAGGTTAGTCATCACTGAACTATTTTTGTGAAAGTTTATTTATTAAACATTTAGTAAGACTTTCAGTATTTGTGTGAACAGTTCAATTTAGGGGTTTCCTGTCCGTCAGAGATAATCAGATACGCTCAGGATCCTTCGTTTATAAGTCTCCATTACCGAGGATTTCCATGTTGGTGATACTGAGTTAGTTTTTAATACAGTAAAAACCCGCGTGTAAGAACCTAGTGGCTTAAAAACCTGCTGGCAGAAATTTGCTTCTTTAATACTTAACAATAAAAGAACCAGGTTGGTCAAACGAGATCAAGCAGGTTCTTATCCGTGGGTTACAGTTAAATTAATAAGCTTATTCATCATCTAAAAAAGAGATTGAACAGGAACAGGTTAGTCACCAGCTTCGTTTGTTTACGTTTATGCATCAGTCATTTGAAACTCCGGTCCCTGACCCCCCATGACTTAGAGGGGAATTTTACATTGGTTTGGTGTTAAAACACAGCTAATTTTCCCGCTCCCCGGGCCAAGTAGTTTGTTAAAAGCCCCGTATAGCAGGGAATTAGTAAAGTGTGGTTCTAGGCTCGATTTCAACCGCTCTGTCCGATCTGGTATTCTGTATTTCTTAAAATTCAAACCATCGGACCTGTTAATAGAAACTTTCGATTGCGTTCCTTCAAATTCATAAAAAATGTTACCCTGGGTGCCAGAGGATTTTTTTCTTACCTAATTCCTGATAACAGACCTCTGGAGCCAGTGTAGAAAAATGTGGTTAGATCGCTTACAAAAAAGTAACTGTCTGTATGGTATACTTGTAAGGACAAGGGATCTTAAGCGAAACCCAGGGGGGAGGGGTACTTTCTTATATAAGCCATATAGATATAGTCAACTCTGGCCTTGCGAACACCCCGATAATACGGACAGCAGCTAAATTCCCCGGCAAAAACAAATTACAGACGTTTGACTTAAATAACTCGCGCTATTACGGACTGTTGCTAATGAGGACACTAATTTGAGGTCCCTACAGTGTCCGCCATAAAGGGCCGGTTGACTGTAATTCTGACATAATTTCTGCCTAAATTTCAGGTCTGAAAACGGGTGTGGATTTTAGAGGTCAGGTCTGCAAAAGGGTGTGGAAAATGACACTTTATGGTCTGAAATAGGGTCAGGATTTGGAGAACTAGGCTGCACATCCCCACCGACAATTACCCGGAGTACCCCCTGGGAAGCGAAACAGCGCTGTCTTTCTCCAATTTTCTAATCCTGAAAGTAATGGGAGAGGAATCGGGAAACTTAGAAAGCGCTTTTGGGATTAATTTATCGTAGTTTACGTTCGAGGTGAACAAATGAGACTCAAATGAGATTTGTGAAGTCCTTGGAAGGCAACGCTCGACCAATGTGTAGGACGTTCTTTACACTCTCTTTCTGTGTCTGAGACTAGGACAACCTGTTTTGTGCCTTCCTGCCCTGTTTCTCCTAAGTTTTAATATTATCATTCTCTGCGGCCTCACCTCTCTTCTGCCGCCATACAAAACTTTGGGAAACGAGGCTTTTCCTTTAGTCACTCATGTTAAATCCCCGCTTCCGAAAATTCGTATATATTGTTTAATCCCCGCTCATGACATGAGTAAAACAGGTATTTTGTTAATTCCCCCGGCACCGGGGCGAACATGTTAGATGTGCGTTAAATCCCGACATTGGCCGTGTTAAATTCTCGCTATCTCCCACTATGCCGCTGGGGCCGGGGTTTCGCGGGGCGGGGTTCCAGTTGACTAATGCATTATTTACTTTATTTAGTTTTATTTTTCTGTCCGTCAGAGATAATCAAACACGCTTTGGAGCCTTCGTTAATTTGCGTCTTTCACTGAAGATTTCCGAGTTGGTGGTAGTTAATCTTGGCAGTTACGTTAAAAGGTTTTAAATTGAGAACCCGTGCATTAAGAATAGTTTTATTTTATTGTTGCAGGCTATTCTAAGGAACCTCTTGCTTTTACCTGAATCGCATGATCTCATTTCTGATTCATCATCTGAATCAGAGATGGAACTGGAACAAAATTCTCTACTATTCTCTCGCAGGTCGCGCTCAGTTGTCTTTAGGCCAAAAGTAGCCTGTTTCCCCAGTATCTGAATGCTTGGAACAGGCTAGCCAAAAGTGACTTTTGCCTTGAAAAAAAAATAGATTCCCTTTTTTTAAAAGCTGCTTAGGGAAGATATCATTGACATTTTGTGCCAAGTAGACCTAATGACTTTTGAAAAAGAGTTTTCTTTATCAATTGGTAGATCAACAAAGAAAATAGAAACAGACACCTTACCTATGATTTAAAAAAGGAGTTCGTTTTGTTCTCGTAACTCCGATGAAGTGATGGATAACTCTCCATCTGGTTCGGATGGTTGCAGTGTTTTGCAGGAAGTCCAGTCACTAATATAAGGGTTCGCACCTTGTAATTAGCTCACCCCTTTTGTTTATATTAAATAAGGCATTCACATCACAATCATACAAGATCTGTGGCAGATGCCGTCTCTAAAATGTCTTACCACGGCAGGCGGAAATCACGAAACATAAAAAATGATTGTTCATGTGTTCAATCACGTGACGGCATACAGGAGTTAAACTTGAAAAAGATGGCCCAATTTTTTCAAGTTGCAATCCCTTTTTATCCTGGCCATCAACAGCCAAAGTCTTACACTTGTAGTCGAGGTATAGTAGTACGTAAAGTCATTTGAAATAGAACTGAACCATTATTTCAGGGTTTTCTTTCATTCCAATGTCTGTTCGTTTTAAAACAAGTACGCTAGTGGGCTTACAGTTACATGTAGAAGATGGATGGTTGTTAAGTATAAATGTATGATTTTGCCAGAACGAGGGAGAAGTCATTGAATCTGAAGATGGAAAGGCATCATATGAATCAGAGGAGAATCAAGAACAGGTGAGTTGCTGATATTTTTTATGAAGGTTTTGTTTGAGGGACTGTGCAATAATTCAGTTAGGAGAAGGAGGTTGTAAAAAGGAAGGGGCTTGTCCATTGCTTATTCGCCATTTACACCAACTAAACATGTTTAAATAAGCTGGGTTTTGAAAAGGAATTAAAAACAACAAAAGTAAACTAAAACACAGGCTTTTACACAAAATTCAAATAAACTTTTACGTATTACGTAATTACACTAAATTTGCAATCGGAAAAAGTACAGGAGACAGCTTTTATGAAGAAAACAAATTTAAACCGTGTTTAACTAAACACCTTTTAAACATGTTTAAGCTTTGAGTGAATGGACGATTGGTCTATCTTAAGTTAAGTACAAGAGTAAAATAAGTTGTATAATACTGTACAACCATGGGCGTGGTTAAAATTGTAAATAGCGCGCATTATATACTTTGGAAACAACAAGACAGTATGTCCAGTATTAATATTTACATTTATCGTCCAAGGCTCCTAAAAAATCAGTTTAAGTCAAGTGAAGTTCCTTTGAAAGTCCAGAAAACAGACAAGTCTTTTTTATAGCTGTTCTTTTGTTAGTTCTTGAGCGTTTCTTTGGTAAATACTGCTCCTTGCAGTTCGGCTAGGCGTTGTTTTTTGAAATAACCCGCATAAAAAATTGTATCTTCGAAACAACGGTTGAAAGCAACACCAAAGAAATTTTCTTTACAGGTAAACACTTCGCTGTTCTCCACTGTATAGCATAAGTGTCCATTGCATGATTTTCATCGCGTAAATAGCATAAGTTTGTTTTCAACTTTCCAAGAACACTCGCCATACAAATCAAATCCTGCGGAGCTCTACGCTTTCGTAAAATATCCTTAAAAATGATGTTTCCTTGAGCTTCGAACAACTCTTAGCATATTCTTGAGTAAAAAGAGATGAATCCCTGTCTTGTGTAATATTTCCTTGATGTTTTCTTATTCAATTTTGAGTTCATCCTGAACAGTTTGCCGTTGAAGAGCGACCTGAACAAACGATGTCATTCAAAGCCTAGTGACGTGGCGGCAGCTGATTGGCTAAATCTACCTCGGATGAATTTTCACGTGATGACATTTCCCGCCTTTCGTTTTATTACGTAACAAATCCCGCCTGCAAAAAAATACGCTGTGATCTGCGTGTTTTGTAAGGCTGAATATTTTGAAAAGAAAAACAAAGATTTGCTTATTTTGATTTTGATTCTACTATTTTGTATGCGCGTTTCTTGTACGTGCGCCTTGATTAAAAGAATGTTTTTCTTACCAATCCCGCCAAGAAGTCAGAATCTTTGTTTTATACAAAGGGAAAATTTTATCTCAGCCAGGGGCGTAGCCTACGGTGGCCCGGAAGGGTCACATATGCAAATTAAAAATGTTGCTGCAAATTAAAAATAGTACATGCAAATTAAAAATTGTACACGCAAACTAAAATAAAAATATTACCTGCAAATGAAATATAGTACATGCAAACTAAAAATTGTGCTGCAAATTGAAAATACTACAGTTCATGCGAACTAAAAATTCGATGCAACGTAACAAATTCGTTGCCGGGAAAATTGTGGAAAATGTTATCGTTAATAATTAAAATTTCACTGTATTTGTTATTAAACATACTGCAAATAAATAAACAAGAGTTGCGTTAAATTCGCTAAATACCTTGCTGCATATTGAAATAGTTTACAAGGAGTATCTGAAATATTAAGGCGCCAAAAACCATAGAAGTAAAAAGAAGACATATCGATGCAAATTAAAAATGAAAAGTCCTGCGCGCGCAGTATGAGTGATGAGGACCTGGTCCGAGCCGTGCGATCTGGCCTTACAGCCTTCAGCCCATTCATGTTTGGCGGGAAAGGAAGACGGATTAGATCGCTGTTTAGGTTTGGCCATTAAACATGTAGTTATAGCGTTCTTAAAGAAAGTATCGCTCTTAATTTTGCCTTATACTTTGCTAAAATCAATATCTTAAATGAAGAATGTAAGTGAGAGTGCTTTTTCGTCGAATTTGCCCGTAAATTTTAAGGTTTATAATATTATCCAAAACCCGCGACAAAATGTAAACAAACTATTAACGCATTGGTTGCGCTCATATTTCATCGATCGATTCGAACACGATGAAGTTTGTAAAAGGTAAAAATTCGTTTTAAGTCAGTGCATTGAATTATTTACGGCAAAATCAAAAACAATCATCGAGGATTTTTCAATTTTGAAGCGTTTAACAGCAAAAAAGTCACATGCTAATTCGGAGTAAATTTAGACAGTTTTTAAACAGACTGAGCTATGGTTAGTCGCGTGAAGTTCTATTCTTCATCGAAGAATAGGCAAATGTTGCGGATGTCTGAGCAGGAGCAATAACCAGGAAAGGGATATACCCAGAGGATTTCTTGATTGACACTAAATTAACGTCATTTTTCACTTATTTGCATTTTTCACGATCGACGTTTTTGAATGGGCGCGCGTTTCTGTAGTGGCTTGCTGCAATGATGTTCTGCTCATTTTGTGGCGAAAAATGTGCGCCTGGTGCAATCTTTTGCCATAAATGTGGAAAAATGATAAGCTTGAGTATGGATAAGGAGAATGGTTCTCCGAGTGGCGTACAGAAGACGTCGGCGACAGCATCACAGCCGCTCTTAAAGGGACTGGTTCACGATAATGCGCATGTGTGAGTTCTGACAGTAGCTGATTGTTTTTCAACCAATCGGAAGCGAGTTAGATGCACGCAAGTAAATTTACAAAATTCAAATTAATTGTTCGCGACGCGAGAGTATTTCCGGGCATTTGGTTTGATTTTATTTATCCCCATAATTCAATTTTATTCTTTGCTACTCCTCAGATATATGTTGCAGCCGATAAGAATAAGATTTACAGCCCTGTCCTGCTTTGAAACAAACATTTACCAGCGTGTATTTTTACGAGGTCGTACCCACGCTAACAAAACAGTCACCGATCGGCAAACAAAATTTGTAAACAACCATCTTATTACTGTTCTCTCAGTTCGCCTTATATAAACCCAGAAATACCTACAAATAGCGCCGGACCGGTGACAAAAACACACAACGTATGAGTATAAAGATTATCCTTAATTGAGCATAAATTTCAATTGCTTATCAGCAAATGAACAAATTCATTCGCGTTGCATCGGGTCAGTGTTCCGCAAAACAAATGTTATCGAGTAGCACACATAAAGAAACTAGATTATGAACAGAATATTCAGGCAATAATTTATTTTAAAAACATCAATTCTTAAACATATACGATCGTAAAGCAAAGATACAAGGAACATTTCAAGTGTACCAGATCGGTGAAGATCGCGCGGCCTGTTGCGGTATAACTACAGGTCGGCGTCAAAAATCAAATCAAAGTTGAACGAACTCATGCCTTTAACCACTTTCCAAGTGTCGTGTATTCTTTTCGTATGCACACACTACTCCTAGAACCATACTAGATCGATAGGCTAAGCTTCTCTATCTCCAGAGACTCTTGAGAACGTCCTGTTGCCGGACGGCCACGATGCTCTTCTCAACCTCCATGATCAAAACATTATTTTTTGCGTCTTCTTAAAACGTAACCAGTCAAACGACACAACCACACGTTAAGGTGGCTCGACTGGATTTTTTGGGGTTGATACCTCCCAACTTTGAGCATTAACTACGTCGGCGTGAATAAAGATATGGAAAAAAAGTTACCACAGCTGTATTATATGAAGATGAAAATTTCTTATGATCTGGGTTTTATTGCAATCGGAGTCGCCATGGCAACGTAATGACGCCATTACGTTTTTCATTTATCGTTGTGTTTCTCTGTACCAGGAGTTTTTTGAAGAAATCGCTTAAGGGAGTATGTACATGCCATAATTGCCTCCATTATGGCAAAGTTTAAAGAAATTCTATGAGAGCGTTTTCGAAATATTTTGAAATGCAGTTTTAAGAATCATCAAAGCAGTGAAATAGCATGCTAGCCGCGCAATTCGCTAATATTTTAAGAAAATGATAAGCTTTGGAATCGCGGCTTCATCTCATAGCGGTTTGATTCCATTGAAAACTGCATACAAAAAAAGAGGGGAATTGCTCTGGGCGATCGCGAGTAAGAAGAATTTTATTAACTTGCATTCAGCTGCTTTTGATACAGTTTTTGGAGGTAATTTGGTCCATGCCTAGAAATTTCGCATTTTTCCAAAAACCGCTCGATAAATTTTTTTATAAATTCGACAATCCCGAGATCAATTGTCAAGAAATATTCCCTGAGAGTTTCAAGAACATTGAAAACAGGGAAGGCTTTTAAGTAGGGCCTCAAACATAACCAATTTCCCCCCTAGATTTTGTGTTTACAAGTGAGCGTCCTAATTATTCACTGGCATTGTTTTCAAGTTTCATATGCACGTGCACAACTAGTAAAAGATATAAATTTGCATAAAAAAGAACTCTCGATTACTTTCCGAAGAAATATCCGGAATATGCTAATATTGGCTTGTCGTCACAGATAGCAGTGAGAGCCGAAACGGTGAACGTCACGGCTCATCGTGTAGGATGCAATACTTAATTATCTTACTCGGGTTATAACATCACAGAAACTGTCACAAAGAGTTGCTCTGATGTTATAATGTATCACTAATCTCTACCCGGTAATTAGCATATCCCGGAGATTTAACCGAGGGTCCTTTTTGATGCAAATTCTATCTTTTTGCTAAATGTGCACGTGTATATGAAACTTGAAAACAATGCCAGTGAATAATGAGGACGCTCGCTTGTAAACAGAAAATCTGGGGAAAAATTGGCTATATTTGAGGCCCTATTTAAAAGCCTTCCCTGTTTTCAATGTTCTTAAAACTTGCAGGGAATATTTCTTGACGATTGATCTCGGGATTGTCGAATTTAAAAAAAATTTATCGAGCGGTTTTTGGAAAAATGCGAAATTTTTAGGCATGGACCAAATTTCCACCAAAAACCGTATCAAAAGCAGCTGAATGCAAGTTAATAAAATCCTTCTTACTCGCGATCGCGCAGAGCAATTCCCCTCTTTTTTTGTATGCAGTTTTCAATGGAATCAAACCACTATGAGAAGAAGCCGCGTTCCTAAAGCTTGTCATTTTCTTAAAATATTAGCGAATTGTGCGGCTAGCATGCTATTTCACTGTTTTTATGATTCTTAAAACTGCATTTCAAAATATTTCGAAAACGCTCTCATAGAATTTCTTTAAACCTTGCCATAATGGAGGCAATTCTGGCAGGTACATACTCCCTTAAGCGATTTCTTCAAAAAAACTCCTGGTACAGAGAAACACAATGATAAATGAAAAACGTAATGGCGTCATTACGTTGCCATGGCGACTCCGATTGCAATAAAACCCAAATCATAAGAAATTTTCATCTTTATATAATACAGTTGTGGTAACTTTTTTTCCATATCTTTACTCATGCGGACGTAGTTAATGCTCAAAGTTGGGAGGTATCAACCCCAAAAAATCCAGTCGAGCCACCTTAATCACCACTACCGAAGTATAACTAGACCAGCCAAAGCGACGGATGTCCGAATAAAACGAAGGATTTTCAATGATTGTACCGGTAATGGCGATTTCGAATTTAGTGTTGACCCAACAAATTTATTCTGAAGAGACAAACGGCGCGCATGCGCATTATCGTGAACCAGTCCTTTAACCTTCGCAGCGTTCCGATCGAGGAAGGAAAATGATCGTTCAAAGTATTTTCGTTGGGGGCAGAGACTTTAGATACTCCATGACACTGAAAATTTCAAATCGTAACTCAACTGAAAATTTCAAATCGTAACTCATCACTCCTAGTGTTCCAGTTCAATCCAACGATCTTCACCGCTGACTTGTCATCTTCTTCTTTCATTTCCTCGCTGATCCTTTGCCTTGCAATGCTTGAATTGGTTTCCATTTGCGAAGGTTGAAACCTCCCTCTTTCATGATGGCCTTCGCTCTTTGATAAACATGAATAGCAGATTCATCATCACTGGCTCCACTAGGGAAATCATCAATGAATGAAATCATACAATGAATTAGCTAGCAATTCTGATACTTGTGGTTCTGGTTCCTTGTAATGTGATAAATGATGCTGAATTGTTCCATTCAGGATTGCCGGACTCGAAGTCAGTCCAAATACAAGCCTACGAAACCTGTACTGCACAATCTCTGGTCTCTCCTCCTTAACTTTCTTAAACCACGGAAATCTCAATTGGTCACGGTCAGCCGGATTAACTGAAATTTGATGAAGTGCTTTCTCAATGTCAGCTGTCAGTCCTACAGGATAACTTCTGAACTTGGCCAGTTCTTCAAATACATGTGGAGTTAAATTTGGGCCCTTTTCTAAACAGTCATTCAACGAGTAGTGATTCTTGTCCGCTCTTGCTGAGCCATCAAATACGATACGCAGCTTTGTAGTCTCCCTGTCTTCTCTCAAAACTCCATGATGTGGTAGAAAATGAGCAGCCTTGAAATCTTCCTCATCTTTTGGAACCAACTCTATAATCCCAGCTTCTAATTGTGCCTTCAAAATGCTGTCATACTCCTGAAGTAACTTCTCATCTTTCTTCAAACGTGCTTTCAAACAGTTACGTCTGGTGACACACAGATCAAAGTTGTCTGACTGTTTACATATTTGTTCTCTCCAAGGAAGTTCAACCTCATATCTTCCTTCATCCTTGTCAAACTTAATGAATCTTAAAAACTGCTCATCTTCGTTTACCTTGCTTGATGTCTCAGTAATCCCAGCTGATTCAATGTTCCAGAACCGGTTTAAACTATTCGCTAGTTCTGTAGCCTGGTTTTGGCTCTCTATGAAGTCATATGGTTTCTGAACAATTAGATTTGATGTGGTGAAGTGGGCAGTTCCACTGGCCCCCTTTGTAGGCCCAGACACGGGCCATCCAAATTTGCTACTAACTGCCACCAATTTGTCATCTCCACGAGCAACCTCCCCTGTAATTATATCCCAGTAGTAGTCAGAGCCTGTCAACACGTCTATATTGTCATGGCTTTCCATGTTACCTGAAATGCAGTCTGCTAGGTCTAAATCTAGCAAATGAAGGTGTTCATGGAGTGAAACGTTTGAAGGCACAGGTGAACAGATAGCCTCAAAACTCAATGCAGATATGTTTACATCCTCGCCATGTTTTCCTTGTAAACGTAACTTGAGCAGATCACAATCCCTTTTTGAAAACTTCTCATTGCCAAATGTCTTCAGATTCAGTGTTTCGGTCTTTATGGGTATCAGACCCAGCTTCCTCTTCAAATGATTTGTAATGTAAGATCTTTGGCTTCCGCTATCAAGTAATACACTGTTGACCGGCTGGGAAAGCTTCCATCAAAGGAACAACAGCTTTCGAGAACACAACACTTTATTCTCAAAGCACATGCAGGCATCTTCGTTTTACACATACAACACGGCCCACGCAGAACACCGCTGACCCCTATGATACAACGACAGAATTGTCTCCTATCAACATCCTCCCTTTCAAAGAAAACTATTAACATGTTAATATGTTTCGAAAAATAATAATAATAATAATAGTAATAATAATAAAAACATAATAAGTCATTAACACTAACAAATGTGAACAGGCAATGTCAGATAATAGTCAACATCGAGTACCATACTGCACTCTAGTCTCCAGTTTCAAAGGTCCAGTCTCTTTGGTGGTCTAATTAGCCGGCCATAACGCGAGGTTTGCACTGGTGGAGGTGAATTCTCATTCGTGGACTCGGAAGTGGGGTTAGGCACTATGGTTTCCGCAGAATTTCCAACATCCACACCACTATCTATTACTAGTTGTTCTGGCAAGGGTTGTGGGTCACATGGGACCTGACGCCCATTAGGTCTTAAGTGGATTCTGTTCCGTCTAACCAACCCGTCTTGCGTTTTTATCACGTACGAACTTGGTGTTTCTTCGCCTTCGCCGTGACCCCACTGTTCACCATGGTGATGGTCATTTGGCCTGGTGTACACATACTGTCCAGGCGTCAGAGGGGGTAAGTCTCTGCTAGCAGTTTTGTCATAATGAGCTTTGGCTTTAGCTCGTCTACCCAGATGCTCGTCACGGACTACGTTTACAGGTGGCACAGATTGGCTCAACAATGATTCAGATATTGGCAAGTTTGACTTCGTTCGTCGGCAGAGAAACCTTTGTGCCGGGGAGTAAGTCATACCCTGAGGCGGAGTGTTCCTATGGTCCAAGAGACCAGTGCAGAGGTCTGACTTTTTTAACATCTTCTTGGCCTCCTTAACGGCAGCTTCAGCTTTACCGGTAGCTCTAACATAATACGGTGACCAGGTAATCAACTTGAAACCATAGGTCTTGGCAAAATTCGAAAATTCCTGAGAGGTATACTAGGGTCCATTGTAGGACAAAAATATATCTGGTATACCATAACGGGCAAAGTGCGCCTTTGTGACTGAGATAACATTGGCAGCAGTGATATCTTCATTCAACAGATCGACCTCAAACCAGTCACTGTAGTGGTCTACCGTAACAGAATACCAACGCCCACCCTGCTTGAATAGGTCCTGCGAGATAAATTTCCATGGACCTTGTGGAATTTCATGAGCCAAAATCGGTTTCTTTGGGAGGGCCGAACCATAGCTAGCACACAATGAACATTTGGCACCTCAGTTTCAGCTTTAATTTCCTCCAGGGTGCTAGGATACATGTCAGGGGAGTCTAGTTCCATGGTCTCTAGCTCTACCCGGAACATCTCTAGTGCATCCTCTGAGTTGCACTGGAACCTCTTCTTGTGGGCCTGAGGGTGTAGGGAGGTTCAAGGCGGCTCTCGACAGTGTATAGGCCAAGTACATGTACTTGCCTTTCTTGTAAACTACTGTGAACTTGAACGGCTGTAGCTGAAGCATCATCCGTTGAAGACGTCTTGGGGCTCTACTCAGGGGTTTTGTGAAAATCGTTTCTAACGGCTGGTGATCAGAATGTACTATAACATCTTGTTTACCATAAAGATACCGGTAGAACTTTGTACAGGCTACTTTGATGGCCAGACATTCCTTTTCAATAGGCGCATAGTTGACTTCAGTTGCTGACAGCGTTGAACTTGTAAAAGCCACAGGTTGCCCATCTTGTAGCAGGGCACCTCCAAGGCCTGTGTCGCTGGCGTCCACTTGTAATACACATGGCTTGTTCACATCAAAGAACTTCAACGTCGTGGCGTTTGCAATTAAGCTTTTGGCTGTCTTAAAAGCTTTGTCATGGTGGGAGGACCATGACCACACTGCATTCACATGTGTCAGCTCAGTGAGCGGCTTCACAATTTCTGCAATGTTTGGGGTGAAGCGTGATAAATAATTGCACATGCCCAGGAACCGCTGAACCCCTTTCACATCTTGTGGTGGGGTAATGTCCTTAATAGCCTGGACTCGATCTGTATGTGGGGTGATGCCATTACTGCTAAGGAGATGGCCCATCCAAGTAACTTGTTTCACTTTGAACTGAAATTTCCTGGGGTTTAACTTGAGATTCACTTCACAGCACCGCAACATCAAGTTCCACAAGTTAATGTCGTGATCCTTCTCAGCCTCCTCCATACTATCTCCACTCCCAAAGACCAAAATTTCATCAGCCTTGTTCACAACACCAGTCAATCCTTCCAGTGCTTCATGTTGTCTACGCTGGTATTTCTCCAGTCCTAAACTGACCCCGAACGGCATACGCAACCAACGGTAACCACCAATTGGAGTATGCATGGTTCTTAGGAAGGAGGAACTGTCATCTAACTCAATGTTCGTGAACCCCGTGTACACATCCACACAGGAGAAAATTTTGGCATTGTTCAACTTAGGCAGTAACTCATCAACTGTAGGAATGGGGTACTTTGGGACTTCAATGGCTTTATTGATCGTTTGGCTAGGATCAATACACAAACGAATGCTTCCGTCGGGTTTCTCTCCATAGACGCTGTTGGAGATCCATGCAGTCGGCTCAGTAACCTTTTTCAGGATACCCTGTTTTTCAGGGTCACGTATTGCGTCAGATGCTTTTGCTTCCTCTGCTACAGGGCACCGATTTCGATGAGCTTGGATTGGAGTCACATTAGGGTTCATGCTGATGTGCAGGGGCGGACCCAAAGTTCCTAACCCTGTATGGACATCCTTAAAGGCATCCATGACAATGGCTTTAGTCAGTTTTCCCCAGGGGACAGGCACATGGAACCCACCCACCTCACTAGCCATGCTCCTCTTTGGAGGAACTTTTTCTTCACTGATTACAGCACCACGAACTACACTAATATCCTCAACCCTACCATGTACTGGAGGGATGCTGGTGGTTTCCTTAGTCACATTAATCTCTTCTGTTGCACTACCATTCAGTGAGGCGGGCCTGACTTCCTGATCAGGAGTTCCACTTTCCTCCACTCTTCCTCGCAGAGGCCCCGAGTTAAGCTGGCACACTTCTGAGGCTCCCCCTTTTTGGTTGTTACGATTCAAGGAGCAGGTGTTTCCTCTTATCTCAACCAGGCCTAATCTAACACAATCAGATCCACTTAGAAGAGGTGGCTGTGATCCCATGACGTCCTTATTTAACAGCTGAAACTGAAGAGTGTGAAACTTTCCTTGAGTTTCACAGACCAAGTCTATTTGCCCCACTGGCTTTATTACACCTCCTCTATAGGTACGCAGGATGGCAGAGGATGGTTTGATTAGGCCATGGATATCAACTCCTGCTGGACACATGCTCCGGAGGTCCTCCACTACAAGGGTGTTGGTTGTTGACGCAGTATCTAATTGCAAAGTTTTCCAAGTAAAAAATTTTTTTGCTGCGGATAATTTGATTGCCGCGAAAAACTTTTTCCCCTTCTGTACAGATACCGATCTCACAGAGTGAGTGTCCAGAGTAAACAAATGATATGTTTCTTGCCCATCATCAGAAACTGAATCATCCAATGCATTCACATTCTGAGGTTTGCTCAAACATTTCCGAGCTATATGCCCTTCTTTGCCACATTTTCTGCACTTATACTTAAGGAGAATTGCACGACACTTTTCCTTTGGGTGACTCGGTGTCGCCCCACAGTAGTTACACTCAGACTGTTTTCTAGACGACTCTTTGCCACTGCTTTGGCTTTGAGAGCGAGTGCTGTTTTGCTTTGACTGGGAGGCTTTTTCGGTCCAATTCACCTGCTCTTGATCTCCACGGACTTGCCTCATAAGCCTTCGAGCGTCAGTGGAGGATTCATAATTCTTTGCTATTTCAACCACAGTACGGAACTCCACAATGTTACCATCCTTGTCACGATGACCATTAGTATTCAACTTTCCTTTTCCTCCGCTCGAACCATCCCATCACCGTGCAATAATCGATATAATCCAATATGAAACAGTCTAGAGCTTCTCGCTCATCTAGCCCCTCTTGCATTTGAGGGACAGGAAAACCCACTGGAGCGGTGGCCATGATAACAGCAAACACAAACAATTTATACGGGCACCAGCTTGATAATATCCGAAAATGGCGGGAACAATTCGTACAACTCCCAGAGTTCGTTCTCAAACGTAAACTGACAGTACTATGGACGAAACCTCCTGACTTAAGGCGCGTGTTCGTCTACTTCTGACACCATGTTGACCGGCTGGGAAAGCTTCCATCAAAGGAACAACAGCTTTCGACAACACAACACTTTATTCTCAAAGCACATGCAGGCATCTTCGTTTTACACATACAATACGACCCACGCAGAACACCGCTGACCCCTATGATACAACGACAGAATTTTCTCCTATCAACACACGAACAGGTAATAACTTGGTACCATTCTCAACATAAGCATATGTTGTAGCTGTTTGCAAAAGTACCTACACCTTGCTTCTTGCTGTGGATGTTGGTGTGATGTTCCGAGGAGGTTTCTTACTTGCACTAGGCTCTCTATCTTCCTTAGTTTTAGCATTGGTTGGGCAGCTGGTGTTTCAGATTTTGACTGATTAGAACTCATTTCACAAACTGACTGATGATGATCAGTGTACTGTCACAAACCCTACACCTTTTCTTCCGGGTACACTGGTTTGCGCGATGACCGACTGACAAACACAAAAAAACAACGTTTATCCCTCCTCAAAATGTTCTTTCCTTTTTGAATTTCCTTGACTTCTTCACATGCAGATGAATAATGTTCACCATTACAAAACGCACAACGAATTCCTGATCCATCACCTGACCTTGCAAGTAGTGAGTTAGCAGTTCCTGGGGAAACTCTTCTCTTGGGTGTAGGAGTTGTTTCAGTCCCTTTCTTTTCCTGTATCTTCATGGTGTCCCTCATTTCTCTAGTCTCAACTTCTGCCTGGATCACTTTCAACAGCTCATCTATCTCCCACACATCCTTGGTAGAAACTCTAGCAACATGTAACCTTACTTCAGCTGGCAATCTTGACATGATCACTGGTATGAGAAAACTACCATATTGCTCTGCTTTCACTCCTAGAGACTCTAAACCATATGATATGATCAACTGAGCATATTTTTGTAATCTCCTCGTCCAATCCCGCTAGTAAAATTAGGTTTTCATCCAATATTTGCTCAACAACTTTCAAACGGCTCCACATGATATCTTCTAAATCGGTGTGTTCAAGAATAGTTCTCGCTTCGTTTACGTTTCAGTGTTACGACGGTTCGATGTCCTCCACGTTTTGCCCGCAGGTGATCCAACTTTTCCTATTCTTCTCCCATGAAGACTAATGAAACGACTCAATACAATGATGACAGATAAAAACGACTCAAACGAATGCAAACCTCTGCCCCACGTTGGGCGCCATGTTATAAACAGAAAAAATGGATGATTTATTGTCTTGTAACATGTGACTATACGCGCGCGTTATCCTTGCGTGTACCGGTATAAATCATTACAACTGAGACCTCCATTTTGGTTCTTCACAATTTTGCCGTCTTTTAGTACGGCTAAAGGTGGTTAGAAGTATAACATTATAACAAAATTTTTAGTTTAGATATTGACTTTAACTTGGAAGTATGCGGCGTAATTGTGTTTTTAGAAGATTGAACAAGAGCTGATTTTTTTAAAGCTGTACAGAGTAAATAAATTCCGTAAACATGCTTTAATATTCTCTCTCGTACAAAGTTCAACAGACCTTTAAGGTGGCTTTATACAGTTTTTCAGGGTCAATACCTCCCACGTTTTAGCTTACACTACGTCGCCATAAACAAAGTTTTGGAAAAATTGCCACCACGGTTGTATTAGATGAAGATGAAAATTTGTTATGATCGGGGTTGCAATTACATCGGAGTTCTGTTGTCATAGCAACGACTTGACGCTATTACCAATTTTACTTGCAGCAGTATATCTCGGCACTGGGAACCGTTCTTCCAAAATCGTTCACGGGAGCTTTTTCATCCAATAGCAGCCTCGATGTTTGTGAAGTTTAAGCGAAATCTGTAAGAGCGTTATCGGGATATTTTGGGATGAAGTTTTTAGGGTTGCAAACACTGTAAAAAATGGATAATATTGTTGTTTGGCCGTTATCTGTAGAAAAGGAATCGCTTTTGACATGATATTTCACCTCTTGGTAGTTTCAATGTTTTTAAAAACGTGTGTGAAAGATCATGTAGATAGCTCCAGCCGATCGCTAGAAAGAAGTGTTTGATTAGTATATATATTGAAGCGCTCTTGTTAGCGGTTTTGTAAACATTTTGGTCTTCTTTATCAAATTAGCGAATAATTTGTAAACTGCTCGATAGATTTTTTAAAAAATTTAAGATTCTTGAGATTAACCTTCCTTTTACATGACCTTTTAGTTTCAAGATTATTGATGTATTGTAAGGCAGTAAAATAAGGGCTCTATACAGAAGGTTTAGAGCATCTGCGACGCAGGCAAAATAACCTTAGTTTCTTTTGTTTTCTCCGAAATGCCTGGACCTGGATGCCTACATGTGTGTATGGTTTTTTGGGGGCCGTGAATATCATGATTTCCTGCCAGATTGCAGAATACGCGGCAGTGCATCTGCAGCGATTGGAAGACGCTGGAAAACCAGTCCGCAAATTTACAAGGAAATTCTGGCCTTGAAGGAATCCTCTCAAAGCATTTTTTTTGTTCAGTAGAAGGCTTTAAAGTTCGAACTGTTCTTTCATTGTTTACTGTAAACGATCCTTGCCAACTCCCTTCCGTGAATTTTGACATGTCACTGCCAACCGTCACGCACAGTCAATAATTACGCCAATCGTGAGGCGCATACGAAACCCGCCTATCAGAAACGGTCACATATGTCCTTGCGACTCTACAGGATATTAGAACGAGCTTTTGTGAACTAATTCGCAGACGGACTATACAAATGGTTTTAGACGAGTGCGCCTGCAACGCAGGCGAGCAAATTGTGTGCATGAGTTATTTTTATAATCCTGTTTACTAGATTACTGTGTGAAAACTCGAATTCCCTCACGTACGAACCACGAAAGGGGGCAAAGTCCAACACTTTCACGTACTAGGTGTGTGACTGTACATCTCATGCAGATTGGTTTTTCACAGTAATAATAGTAACTTGAACGTATGAGGACCTGTTTCGTTTTGTAACCAATGCCTTAGGTAAAGGCTCTTGTCTTTTAAGAGGCAATAGCTTTTAAAACATGCAGAATGGAGTCGTCGGAGTTAAAGACTGTTTCATTGAGTAGAATCGCACGTGAAAACCTCGTGACTTTGATGATGATATCTACCACAATGATTAAAATTCTTATATTTCGTGACTATTCGGTATTCGATGAACCACATTTTGTTAAGAAACTCCGAAGAAACCTTCGAGTTTTCCTTCTAGTCAACGTTAGGTGAGTTGATATTTACTGTACTTTAACAATTCGCTTAACTTACACCAGATGTATCATGGAAAGACAGACACTGGACAGAGGACAGTGAATATATAGCATGAGGATCGACTCAGCTGAGCATTTCGCGTCTTCATTCATGTACAGCAATACCCAATTTCGCACAAAATACCTGTCTATAATAATAATAAATGTCTTTATTTCTCATTAGATAAAAATACATATCTAATGTTACAGGATAAAAAGATTAAAAGTTCAGCTAAATTACAATGGAATAAAAAGATTAAACGATGCGAAAAACTAGTTACATATATCTGACGTAAAATATAAAGGTTGTATTCAAAAATTAATCTATTTACAAATGTGTTCTTATAACGTTCGGTGTTTATCTTGGGCCTTTGGCAGCTTTTACTTCTAAGGTTGTAGGTTGAATTGTTCTTTTCTTGCGGTAAGCATACCTTTAGAGGGTGGTTATCCTGCTGTTTAGCTTTTTGAAAGATCGCTTTATCTTGTTTTTGTAGTAAAGATCTAATATTTAACTGTGTAGATATAAAGCGTAACTTATAGCATCTGTCTAAAAGTTGCTGAAGGACATAAATTTCCGCAACGGAGGCACCATAAACAGATAGTCTGTAGGTTATGTTAGGGAGAACAATACTATAGAAGAGATAATCAATTTCTGTCTGGCTGTAGCACTCTTTTCTACATACTCTCAGCACGTGTAGACATTTGTTGGCCTTGCACAGTTTAGCTTTTATGTGTGCAAAAAAATTTACAGTCATTCTGAAAGGTCAAACCTAATAAATCAAGAGTGGCATGTTGTGGTATATTACGTACAACGGGATAGAATGTGGAGTTGTTCCCTTTCTTCTTTATGACAAGTTCTTTACACTTAACATTTAGGATGAAAAAGGTAGATTCATTATTCTTGGTACGGTTGTTGTTACATTAGTCACTAATCAGAAACTAACTGTAAGTGACGGCGGCCATGTTGGTATACAAAAAGTCCTGCGGGGATTAAACTCTCTTCTCATGCTTAAAAACTTTCTTTTGTACCAAGAAATTTTGCTTAGCATCTGACCACGTCATAGAGAATGATTCAGTATACGCCCTAATTTCTTGATGCGACAAAAAACCGAACAAACAATATATAGACATTAAATAAAGAGATCGCAGCAGACAGGTCTCCCAGCGTCGTAATATGTTATGTTGTGCTGTGTTGTGTTATACAAAGGAGCCTTGTGGATTGTCCTTAGACTTGACCAGTGTTATAACTTTTTTATCACAGGCAGTGGGACCAGATCAAGGAGGAAAAGATGCAAGTAAGTTTGAATTAAAGTACACTCAGGTTATCAAAGTAAAAAGTCAATGCAAAACAATAATGTTACCGTAATGATGCCTGTATACTTAGAAAACTGTATGTAAACTTCTCTAAAACCAGTCATCCAGGCGCCAGGTTTTACCAAAGGAGGCCCTAACTTGGTATTTACACTATAAGGATACGTTACCGCATGTATTTTTTTTAAAATATTTATAGCGGAGCTGTCGCGCGCGAAGCGCGCGCAGCGTAGCACCACGAGTAAGAAAATTTGGTAAACTATGCATCCACGAAATTTTGGTTCTGAGAAAATCGTCCGTACGTACGTCCACCCCTTCATGTAAGCCGGGGTGAAATTTTGCTTTTCAGGTACCAGCGCGTTTCTGTAGTAAATCGCATAGCCACCCGGACTTTTAGAGATAAAAAACAAGAAAAACGAAGCTGATTCTTTCTTTCGACTTAATTTTAAAGTCTACATTGACGTGGATAACAGAGAAAGAGCTAGAGCCAGAGATAAAAAAAGAAACAAAGAAGACCAATTTCGTTTGAAGAATAACGTGAAAATTTTATAGCGGCTGTGAGAAAATGAGAAATGCTTGCGGCCACCGAGGTAAAAATGAGCGGGAGCGAAAAAAAACTGAACAGGACCACATACAACATTTCCCTCATAAAACGTGTAAGTAGAAAGTTTCTGGAAGTTTCACGTTGTCGTCGTGCAAAACAACGGCAAAGAAATGTACAAAAAAAGTGTGCTGCACGTGCAAAGTGTTTTTTTTTTGGTTAATTAGACCTATTGTTTTTTTTTTTGCTGTTTTCGTTGTCGTCGCCGCTTGGTTAGCATTACACGATTTTATATTTTGTTTCAGTAAACTATAGATATCAACAAGAGCTTCGCTTTTAGCCCTGGCTAAACCTATATATTATAATAGTGATAACCAAAGGTTAGAGAGTGCGGGCGACAACGATTTAACGTGATCAGATTACGAGTGATAGATGGTCCAAACGCGCGTCAGATTAGATTGCTTTCCATGCATTTTACTCGTTTCAGTGGAAGTCCAAACGAAGTTGGCTATGTACGTGTCATTCATACGATATAGCAACCTGTAGATTTGGATTGTGCGCTCCTCTTGTCACCCGCAATTTCTATTATGATTTTTTCTTACATATTTCGTTTTCGTAAAGGACGATTTATGATTCATTTGACTATTTCGATGTTGTTTACCAAATAAACTAAGCGTAAGGCAGGGATAACAAAACAGTGCACAAAATCGCTATAAAAACACTTTAAGGTGTGATTATCATACGATTTAAGGAGAAACAAGGTCAAATAAATGTACAGTTTGGGCTATGTTTCCATGCGTTTGGGTTTTCAATGGCTCCGTTTGTGGAGGAGAACAAGTCTC